CCCCCCCAAGCTCCGAGACTCAGGGCCGGGACGAAGCGCTTGGCGGCAGGGGCCTCTAGGCGGCTGCGGCGCCGCCTCCCCCATCAGCTGATCTGAACTTCCGGCCGCGCCGTCCACCACCACTTCCGCCCTCGCGTGCTCGGGAGCCGGACGGCGTGCCAGCGGATGTAGAGGACTTGTTTGTTTAATTGCTGCATTTCCTGCCTTTTTCCTCGAACCCACCCTCGGGCACCATAAGAGGAAGCCAACGCTCAAAGATACGCGAGACAACTACAGATCCCAGCAATAACTAGGCATCCATAACGCCCGCAAGGAGTAAGCAGCCGCCAGGCATGTTGGGAATCGTAGGCTGTCAAGGGACAGCGCAGGAACCATTGGATGGAGTTACTGTCCTAACTCCGGATAGGCCGCGAGCCCGCTTCACCCTCTGGGAGTCGTAGTCCGGAGGCCTGCAGTCCTGCAGACTTTATAGGGTGTCATTGGGGAAGCACCAGAAAAGAAAGCATTTAATTTCAGGAAATGGTTGTACTGATTGTCAGTACAGAATTTTTAACAATTTATTCACTCGGGGGCCGGCAGGTGGCGTGGTGGTTAAAGGCGCTGGACTCCCACGTGGCCGTCCACAGTTCAAGTCCTGAACCAGTGGCTTGCTGTCTCACTTTCCCTCTCTCTGGTCAAACTGGAAAAATAATAATAAAGTTAAATAAATAAAAATTTTTAAAATGCATTCATTCATTTTTTAAGAATTTGACTAGAAAGAGAAAGTGAGAAAGCACGTCGCCAGATCTGGGACTCAGTGTGGCCATGTAGGAGTGTGTACAATGCCTTAACCACCCCGCCACCTCCTTGTCCCTTTTTTTTGTGCCATGGACCCTTTAGCAGTCTGGTGAAGTACAGTAAGCCCTGTACTCAGGTTGTAAATAAGAGTACAAGATAAGGGACCAGCAGATGGTGTAATGGCTATGTCGCTGGACTTCCATGTAGTCTACCACAGTTCAAGTCCCAGACCCGGTGGCTTATGTGCCCAAGATCTCCAGAGGAGAATGGAGAAGGGATTGCACCGTGGCCAACCCCCCTGGGAAGGTGATTTCTTGCTTTCTGTCTCTCTCTCTCTGTCTTTCTGGTGAGTACATGCGCCCTATAGCAAAAACCTCTACCCAATTATGTTGGAATAGAATTATCAATATATTGATAAATTTGTAACATAATAGTGCTTAATTAAAAATTATTATGATTATCATTTTTCACATGAGTTTTGCCAGAGAAAGACAGAGAGGGAGAGAGAGGGAGAGTGAGAAAGCAAGCCACCAGGTCCGGGACTCGAATTGTAGTTGGCTATATGGGAATTCCAGCGCCTTAACCACCACGCCATGTGCTGGACCCAATAATGCTTTGTTTACATATTACATGACAAAATCTAGCAGGAAGCGTAATAATTACCATAACTTTTTTCCCTAAGAATTATTTAAGTTTGTTTGTTTGTTTGTTTATCTTTAACCTGACCAGAGAGGGACAGAGTGAGAGGGAGAGAAAAAGGGAAAGTGAGAAAGCAAAGCTGTCACATCTGGGACTCAAACCACAGCTGGCCATGTGGGAGTCCAACACCCTTAACTACCACACCACCTGCCAGCCCAAATAATTACCATAATTTTGAATCTAGGGAGGAGTAGAAGTGGTATAAGAAGTGATATTTTGGGGGCTGGCAGGTGGCATGGTAGTTAGGGTGCTGGACTCCCATATGGCTGACAACAGTTCAAGTCCCAGATCTGGCAGCTTGCTTTCTCACTTTCCCTTTCTTTCTCTTTCACTCTCTGGTAAAATTTAAAAATAAATAATAACAAATAAATAAATCTTTAAAGAAGAGATATTTTGAGGGACCAGCATATAGCATAATGGTTACGTTGCTGGACTCCCACATAGTTGACCATGGTTTGAGTCCTGGACCTGACACCTTAAAATTCATGCCTGGTGCTTGTGTGTGCATGCCCAAAATCCCAAGAGGAGAATGGAGGAGAAGGGATTCAGCGTGGCCATCCTCCTGGGGGTGAATTCTTGCTTTCTGTCTCTCTGGTGAGTGCACAGGCCCTATCGCAAAAATCTCTCTTAAAAAAAAAAAAAAAGTGTATTCTGAGAAATTTGTAACCAACTGTGACATATGAAAATATAGTGATTATTTCAGTACAGCAGGTGGCCTGATGATTAAGACATTGACTGAATCCTACATGGCAGACTCTGGGGTTGAGGTCCATCCCCACAGCTTGAAAAATGGACTACCCTGTGTGCCCAAAATCCTGAAAGTAGAATGGAAGAGAAGTTGAGGCATGGGCATTTCCCTAGAGGATGATTTCTTTCTTTCCCTCTCATTGTCTCTTGTCTCTCTCTAGTGAGCACATGCATCCTTAGGCAAAAAACTCTTAAAAAAAAATATTAATTATCATTATTCTTCAATTTTGACCAGAGAGAGACAGAGAGAAAGGGAGAGTGAGAAATCAAGTGTGCAGGTCCAGGACTTAAACCCTGCTTGACAACTGAGAGTCCAGTACCTCAACCAACATGCCACCTGCTGGACCCACCAAAAATCTTTTAAAAAGGAAGAAAATATAATAATTTCATGTAGGTATTGCTAATACTGTAGTTTGTTTGCCATGGTCCTAACTGAAATGTCAAATTTCAGTTGTGGTGAAATATATAATTGCTTTCCTATCCCAACATCACAGAGCTCTCAAGCTATTGATTGGAAATTCACAACCCCTAAGTGTGGGTTTCTCCAGTGAATCAATGAGCCCTATAGCAAAACCTCTTAAAAAAAGGGGGGGGGCAGGAAGGGGCCAGCAGGTGGCACTGTGGTTAAGGCACTGACTCCTACATGGCCAACTTCAGCTCCAGTCCCAGACCTGGTGACTTGCTTTCTCTCTTTCTGGTGAGTGCATGTGCCCTATAGCAAATTAAATAACAATAAATTTAATTAATTAAAGGCTATAAAAAAAAAAGAATAGAAGAAAAGGGGCCAGCAGGAGGCATGGTGGTTAAGGTACTGGACTCCCACATGGCTGACTGTGGTTCATCTTGGACCTGGTGACTTACTTTTTCACTCTCTCCCTGGTGAGTGCACGTATCATATAGCAAGTTTAAAAAATGTAAATAAAGATTTCTTTAAATATACAGAAGGGGGGGAGGTGGGCCAGCATTTGGCATGGTAAAGAATTGGCTTCCCATATGGCTGACTGTGGTTCGAGTCCCAGGCCCAGCAGCTTTAAAATCACACCAGTTGGAGTTGGCAGATAGTGAATTAAGGTGCCGGATTCCCATAAGTCCAACCATAGTTCAAGTCCCAGACCTGGTGGCTTACTTTCTCACTTTATCTTTCTCTGGTCAAAATTTAAAATAATAATAATAATAAATAAAATTCTTTAAAAAAAGAAAAGAAAATCATGCCAGATGTGTGTGCATGTGCGCCCCAAATCCTGAGAGAACAGAGGAGAAGGGATTGCAGCACAACCATCCCCAAGGCAGTGATTTCTCATTTATCCTGTCTCTCTGTCTCTGGCTTTCTCTCCAGCAAGCCCATGTGCCCTATGGGAAAAAAGAATGGAAGGAGAGGCCAGCTGGTGGCATGATGATTAAGGCAGCTGGATCCCACATTGCCAAATGCTTGACTCCAGTCTTATATCTTGCCATTTGAAAAACATACTGACGGAACCAGAAGTTGACATAATGGCTGTTGCTGGACTTCCACGTAGTCGATCGCAGTTCGAGTCCTGGACCTGGTGGCTTAAATTTACGCTGAGTGCATGTGCTTACGTGCCCAAGATACTGAGAGAAGAGATTGCAGCATGGCCATCCGCCCCCACCCCCACGGGGAGTGATTTCTCACTTTCTGTCTTTCTGGCAAGCACACTAACCCTACAGCAGAAAGACTCTCAAAAAAAAAAAAGAAAGAAAGAAAGAAAATAAAAATACACTAGGTATGTGTGTGTGCATGCCCAAAATCCTAAAAGGAGAAAGGAGGGAGAAATGGAGGAGGAGGGATTGCAGTGTGACCAGTCCCCATGAGGAGTACTTTCTCACTTTCCATCTCTATAGTCTCTCATGAGCATATGAGCCCTCCGTCAAATTAAGATAAAATAGAGTATCAACAACAAAAGGCCATGTTCAATTCAGAGGATTTTATTTCAAAATAAAGATAAAGCTTACTTCTACCCAGACCACAGTACTAAACTGTGAAAACATTGCCTCATTCTACCCTTCACAGAGGGCACAGCAGTGCGAACATCTCTGAAATGTTCTGCAGAATTCTCTATAGTCCAGTCATTGAAAATTTGTCTCCATTTTCAACTGATGTGAGGTTTGTTAGGAAACCTCTTTAACAACTTATTCAATTTCTTAGGAGGTAAAATTCCAGACTCTCCCAGAGTCTCCTGGATTGATCTCATCTTTCGGTCTTCCTGAAAACAGAACAGAAACAAGAATAACAGTTCTAAAGTTTGCCTTGACCTAGGCCCATAGTTCTCACAAAGGCACACAAATATATTAATCAGCCCAAAGAGAATGTGTCAGGGCTTTCAACAAAAGGGATTTGGGACTTAAAAATGACTGTCTAGATGTCCAGTGTAGGTATGTTGTGTTGTCAGGGAGTTTTGATTGTCTTAGAGTTGGGCGGTTTTTTTCAGGACTACAGTTAATTTGTCCATTTTTAGCTTAGTCAGCAGATAGTCTTAAATTTTAGAAACAAATGAAAGAAGAATGTATTGTTTAAAGTCTTTTTTCCCCCTATTTTTCAGACCAGGAGAGATTATACTCTGGGTTTGGAATGTAGTAATGGTTTGAAAAGTATTGGTTTTAACTTTTATTATCTTAAGCAGGCTGTAAGCAGCTTTTTGTGCAAGCAAGAAATGAAAGCTAATAATTGATTTTAGGTGAGAGCAGCAAATGATTTCTATTAAAGGCTTGACTATAGTGACTCCATCTTGTCTCATATGCTTTATTGTATGGGCTTCTTACCCTAACTACTTAGCCAGAGATCTCACTCTTAGCTCACTGATATGAAGCTACTATTGCCAGCTAGCAATTAAGTCTAGGTTGGAAACCAAACAGCCTGTCCTTAGACAGCTTCACTCTCTTATAATGTATATTTGAGCAATTCTAATTTTTCAAAACGTTTTTCCAATTAATTACTTGATTTGACACTCAAAAAATTCTGTAAAGTAAGTGTTAACGTTAACTTCATTTGGTAAAGCTCAAGTTCAGAGCAGTGAAATCAGTTAACGTCACACAACCCTCAAAACCTTAACCTTTCCCGCCTTGGCATGGGTAAAGTAGAATGGATGTGAGGGTCTTTCCTATCACTTAGCAAAGAGAGGGAAAACCATTACTTGTATTCCTCCCATTCTCTTCCCGACAGGGCACCCCAGGAAGCATCTGTCACCTGAGCCCTTGAAGCACAATCGAAGAAGCTCTGGATCTCTTTTTTGCACGCGTCGTCGCGAAATTCATTCTGTTTCCAACAAGCCATCATCACCGACATCTCCGTGATGCAAGTCGCCTCTGGAGGTGCAGGAACGGGGGTGGGAGGGGAGAACCTCAGTCACAAGCAGCTTACCTTCCCTGCTCCCCCGCAACACCCCCTTTCGCTCCGTCTCCGAGGCTCACCGCCCTTTTCCCGGCGCCGCTCTCCCACGTGGTCGGCTAGTATGAGGGGTTTGTTGGGCTTCAGTACAGGCTTTCGCGGGTTCCCAAGCCGCGGTAGGCGGCCCCGGAGACTGGGTGTCGCCATTGTGCACCAAGCTCCCGGCAAGCTCTGCGTCGCTGTGCGTGACCCTGCGTGACCCCTACGGGCTCTACGGAGCCCTGCGCTGAATTGGTGGGAAGCTCCGCAGCCCGCTGGAGCGCACAGTTCATCTTCTTGGACTGGCCCGCGGTGATGGTGAGTTCGAATACCGGCGAACCCGTCCCCATCAGCAGTTTAGGAGGAGACTCTTGGGCTCAACACGCCACCTGAGGCCTCACCTTTGTGGCTTTCGGTCCCTGAAACGTCGAGGCAGTACCAGGCCCAGGACAACCCAGGAAAGGACTCCGTAAGTGGACCCTCGATTCTGAAGGCGGCCGTTTGGTTAAGACGGTGGTTAACATAGACAAGGCCAAAGACAATGGGAGTGAATCAGAATACTAGACTATTTATGGTGTTAGCTTGGGAGATTTTTGTTTTAATAAACATTCAAGAACTGTTGTTACTATCTTTTTTTAAAGAATTATTTATTTATTCATTCGTTTATTTCTAATTTGACAGAGAGAGACACAGAGAGAAAGAGGAGAGAGAGGCGAAGTGAGAAAGCAAGCCACCAGGTCCACGACTTGAACCATGGTCTGCCATGTTGGAGTGTCCAGCACCTCAACCACCATGCCACCTTCTGATCCCCACTATCTTTTTTTTAAAAAAAGAATTATTTTGGTACCAACAGTTGGTGTAATGGCTATGTCGTTGGACTCCCATGTAGTCGAGTGCGGTTCAAGTCCTGGACCTGGTGGCTTAAACTCACGCCGAGTGTGAGTGCACATGCCCAGGATCCTGAGAGGAGAATGGAGAAGGGATTGCTGCGTGGCCATCCCCCCTAGGGGGTGATTTCTCACTTTCTGTCTTTCTGTCTCTATCTTTCTGGCGAGCACACTCACCCTATAGCAAAAACCTCTCAAAAAAGAAAAGAATCATTATTATTATTATTTTGCTATAGGGCACGTGCGCTCGCCAGAGACAGACACAGAGAGACAGAAAGTGAGAAATCACCCCCCAGGTGGGATGACCACACCGCAATCCCTTCTCCTCCATTCTCCTCTTGGGATCTTGGGCACACACACACACACACACACACACACGCGCCCAGCGCGAGTTAAAACCACCAGGTCTGGAACTCAAACCGCGGTCGACTACATGGGAGTCCAGCAACATAGCCATTACGCCTGGTCCCCCACTTATTTATTTTAATTGGACCAGAGAGGGACAGAGAGAAAGAGCAGGAAAGTGAGAAAGCAAGCCTCCAGGTCTGGAACTTGAACCCCGTCTGCCGTTTGGGGAGTCCAACACCCTCAACCACCATGCCACCTGCTGGCCCCAGATTGTTACTGTCTTTAAAATCACTCTCAAGTCGCAAGGAAAAATTAGGCTTGTTTATTTAATTATTTAACAACTACTTAGAGGCTCATTTGTAAAAATCTCGTTGGGTAGTATGAAGCTGAAACACTTCTGCACTGTTTTATGTAATCCTCTCCCAGTTTCATGATGGTGCTTGGTAGTATCAGTCCTACTTACAGACTTAGACTCAGTTATGATGCCTCATCAGACTTCTTAGGACTTTTGCTATTTACGAAACTCGGCCCAAAGAGGTACTATGGATTCCCAAAGCATTTGTACATGTGCTCCAAAAAAATGTTCCTGGTAATGGAAGCATAATTTAAACAAATCTCTAGTTCATATGACTACTTCAGAGGGGCAGGATCTATTTGGATGTGTAAATTTAGTGTTTTAAAGTAATTTATCACAGGGGCCAGCAGATGGCATAGTGGTTAAGGCACTGGACATGTCCAACTATGGTTCGAGCCTCAGTCCTGGCAGCTTGCTTTCTCACTTTCCCTTTCTTTCTCTGGTCAAATTTAAATAAATGAATAAATAATAATCCTGCAAAAAAAACTTTAAAGGGTTATTTAATTTTGTTTGTTATTTTTATTTTTTGGAGAGGTTTTTGCTATAGGGCGCATGCGCTCACCAGAAAGCCAGAGAGACAGAGAGAGACAGAAAGCTAGAAATCACCCCCCGGGGGGATGGCCACACTGCAATCCCTTCTCCTCCATTCTCTTCTTGGGACCTTGGGCACACACACACATGCGCCCAGCGTGAGTTAAGCCACAGGGTCTGGGATTCAAATCATGGTCAAATACATGGGAGTCCAGCAACATAGCCATTACACCAACTGCCGGTCCCTGTTGTTATTTTTAATTTACCAGAGAGAGAGAGAGAAAGAGAGTGAGAAAGCAAGCCACCAGGTTCGAGACTCAAACAGTGGTAGGCCATGTGGGAGTGTCCAGCACCTTAACTACCATGCCAGCTGCTGACCTCCCCCTTTTAAAAATTTTTATTTATTATTTTTAATTTGACTAGAGAGAGACAGAGTGATAAATGAACAGATGTTTGTATTATTTTCTCAACAGGTCTCCAACTATAGTATGCCCCCTCAAAAAATAACCCAGCTGAAGACACTATATTAAGAAAGAAGCAGTTTATTATACAAAATGCAACCTGAGATAATAGAAAGGAGCAACACTTCCAGAAATTTAAGGTACGCTTTACCCCCACACTCCAGCAGTGTAAATAAAACAGGTTCCTACCAGATTCTTTTGCCACCAGTAACCCTAACCTGCAGTAAGCTTGTTGCTGTCTACAGTGCCAGTTAAGCCCCAAACCAGAAACAATTCATACTGCTTGCTTTCTTTATACGGAAAATAAGCTTTTAATTGATAAGTACCATAAAGGTATTCCTGGTCCTACTTTTCCTTGTGGATATGTAGCACCTGGTTTAACTTGCTCTTTTGAGAACCCTTATGTGGTGACGAATAAAGGATAAAGTCTAAGAAGCACTGACCAGGCAGGCCTGAATCTCGAGCAATAATCATTCACAAACAACTGGCCCACTTAGTATACAAGTGCTAAATTTGGGAATGCCAGTGAGAGCTGGTGTAGTTAGGAGAGGTAAGGATGATTCTACACCTTGCATAACCATCACTTGCCTTTTAAAAAAAATTATGTATTTAATTTTATTTGCAATTTTTTTAAAAGTTTGACCAGAGAGAGACAGAAAGAGAAAGGGAAAGTGAGAAAGCAAGCTGCCAGGTCCAGGCTTCAAACCACAGTCATCCATGTGGGAATCCAGCACCTTTAGCCATACCACCTGCTGACCCCTCACTTACATACTTATGTGTAATAAAAGGTGCAAACCTAGATTTACACCTATGTAGTAGGTATTTTGCACTATAAACCAACATCTGCATTTAACTAGGTTAAGCTCAGAAATTGGGAGTCCAGCATTTGACTTCTTTTGTGGGTCCCTATCAAAAACATTTTATTTTAAGGTTTTTGCCATAGGCATGTACACATACCACAGAGACAGAATGAAAGTGAGAAATTATCCCCCAGGGAGATGGCCTTGCTGTAATACATTCTCTTGGGATTTTGGACATAGGCACCCAGCATGGTTTTCAAGCCTCTGGGTCAGGACTTGAACCGTGGTCAGCCTTGTGGGAGTCCAGCACCTCAACCACTAGGCCACCTGCTGGCCCCTCTACTATATCAAATTTGAACAGATGTATTTTTTAAGGTCTCTCCCTCTTGTTCTTTTCTGCAAAAGACGAAAACAGGTTAAGCAAACTTTTTGTGCTATTAAGGACATCTTTTATTTATGAATAAAACAAAAAAATGAAATCCAGCTTTTCTTGGCCACATCCTTAGATGTGATAATATCACACATTAATCTTAACTGTTGAAGGATTTACCAGACATCTATGTGTATGTGTCTACAAATACATAAAGATAGATAAATTTATGATGAGACACATTGATAAACTACGGAACTTCTCTAGTGATAATGCATGACTGACATAATAACTAGAGTAGCTCTGAGGTCTAAGGTAATCTTTTTTGTTCCACTGACCCAGAAAAAAACTCATGTTCTTGCACTCATTAGGCTGTATGTTCAAACTATTGGGTCATCAGAAAAGTTGTGGTGCATTTTTGCATAGAAAAATACGTCTTTTCTGACAACCCAACACTTTAATAGAAGGATTTGGCTGCAACTCCAAATCTGATTAAGCCTTGGTTGCCTAAATTAATCTCTTACTTCCTCATCCCCTTCAGTTTAGGACCTTGGGTGGGCTCAATGCAAAAGAATCAGTAGAGGCAGGCAGGTGGAATGGTGGTTAAAGGCGCTGGACTCCCACATGGCCAACTGCAGTTCAAGTCCCAGATCTAGTGGCTTGCTTTCTCACTTTCCCTCTCTTTCTCTCACTCTACCATCTCTGGTCAAATTAAAATATACAAATAAAGTTAATTTTTAAAAATAATTATTTATTTAATTTTATTTATTCATTTAATCATTTTCATTTGACCAGAGAAAGACACACAGAGAGAAGGAAAGTGAGAAAGCAAGCCACCAGGTCCGAGACTCGAACAGTGGTCAGCCACATGAGAATGTCCAGTGCCTTAACCACCATGTCACCTGCTGACCCAATAAAATAATTGTTAAAACCATTACTAATACCATCATTACTCTTGGTCATACAGTAGGTCTTCTAGCAGTGAGAACATGTAAAACTGTAGGATAAGGGATGGAGTAGGAAGATGAAGAAAGAAAGAAAAAAAAAGTGTCAGTACCATAAAGTTGTATGAAAAGACAACAGTAACAGGCTGAATAGTTAAGACTATTCGTTGCTTAAAGTGGAAAGCACTGCAGATTATAAGATAATTACTAAAGCATATTGCTGGGCTATTTTTCCCATCAGAACTTTCCCAACTTTGCAGAAAAGGGGACTTTGGAGCATATAAAAACAATAAGATAGAGTTCATTAGGAAAACAGAAAATAAAGACCTATAAAAATTTGCATTTTGAGAGCCAGCTCTGTGGTTAAGGCAGCTGGATCCCATGTGGTTGACTGCACAATTTGTGCCTCAGAGCTGGCAGCTTGAGAAACATGCTGGGCACACATGTGCGTGTGCTCAAAATCCTGTAAGAGGGAGAAATGGAGAAGAGATTGTTGCATAACCATGCCCCATGAGGGTGCTTTCTCCTGTTTCTCTCTGCCTCTCTCTAGCCAGTGTGCATGCTCTCTAGCAAAAAACAAAAACATTTGATTCATATGGGATTATGTTAACATTTCAAAATCATTTATTTTATTTAACTTTATTTATTTACTTATTTTTTTAATTTGACTAGAGAGGGACAGAGCAAGAGCAAGCAAGAGAGAGGAAAAGTGAGAAAGCAAGATGCCAGATTTGGAACTTGAACTGTGGTCGGCCATGTGGGAGTCCAGTGCCCCCAACTACGATGCCACCTGCCAGCCCCTCAAAAGCATTTAAATTAAATATATTGGGTCCTCGGAAAAGTCATGACACGTTTTTGCATAGAAAACCAAAATACATCATGACTTTTCAGGTGACTGTATGTATGTGTGTGAGAGACTGTGTGTGTGTATGACTTTTTCTGCCAACATTTCCAATTTTAGTCTCCATCTTTGATTTAAATTAGAACATGGCAGTACATTAAGTTGACATGGCATATATTAGCTATTCAATCTTTCTGTTCACAATATGTGAAGGAATTTCAGATACACCCTAAATAAGTAGCAAATCAGCAAGTAAGAATAAATAGTTTCTGTACCTCCATCAGATATTGTAAGAAAGAGTCAGGAAAGAAAAAAGAGTTACAATAAAAAATTTGGTGCGCCCAGAGTGAGTGAGTTGTTTGTTTGTTTTAGAGATTTTTACTATAGGGCATGTGCAGGCGAGAGAGAGAGAGAGAGAGAGAGTGAGAGAGAGAGTGACTGTGAGAAATCACCCCTTAGGGGGTATGGCCACACCACAATCCCTTCTCCTCCATTCTCTTCTCGAGATTTTGGGCCCATGTGCACACATGCCTGGTGTGAGTTTAAACCACTGAGTCCAGAACTTGAACTGCAGTGACTACATGGGAGTCCAGCGACATAACCCTTACACCATCAGCTTGTCTGTGGCTATCGATCTTTTTTTTTTTTCTCTTTTTTTGGAGAGGTTTTTGCTATAGGGCACCTGCGCTTGCCAGAGAGAGGCAGGGAGACAGGAAGCAAGAAATCACCCCCCAGGGTGGACGGCCATGCTGCAGTCCCTTCTCCATTCTCCTCTCGGGATCTTGGGCACGCACGCACACGCGCCCAGCATGAGTTTAAGACACTGGGTCCGGGACTCGAACCGCAGTTGACTACATGGGAGTCCATCGACATAAGCCTTACTCCATCAGCTTGTCTATGGCTATCCATCTTAACGATAAAACATCAATGATATAACTACAGTTCCTTGAATCCATGATAAATGTTCTTTAAGGGTTTGTGTAGTACTCTTTATGTCTTATGGTAGAATAGGATCTCCTTAGCTCTACCAAATTAAAGATCTTGCAAGGGCAATTAGAGATTCTGGTTCCTTTTCATGAAAATCTCATGTAGATAATCCCAAAATTTCCTCTGCTGTGTTTCATTATTGTGGATCATGGCAGTGAGAGCTTCTCCCTGGTCCAGACCTTGCCAATAATCTTGTAGCCACATCTCCTTCCAGCTGAAAAACAAAAAGGAGGGTTGGATTATGGAACTGCAGCCCAGCTATGAGTTCTCCCTTTGAGTGTAGCCACAATTCTTTTTTTTTTTTTTTTTTTT